TCCTATATCTCCAATTTATCAAGAGGGAAACAGGGAAAAAAATGTTTTTTCCTGATGAAAATTCATACATTTTATCGTGCTGTTTTCTAATGTTATTTTCATCAAGGGTTGTAACTACGTGGACAGCAAATTGTTTTTACTATATAATTCAAACTCCATCGATTTCTATCCGTCAAGTGCTTATTCAAATGCCACAGCTTCCCTTAGTATCGATCACAAACACGCTCCACTCACTCCATACATTGTACTTTCACTAAATAACCTTTCAGACTGTAGCAGCAAAATGAATCACTGCAGTTTTCCTGTGTCAACACCGTGTGGGCCTTGTATAATGAAATATACTTTGATTTATGCTCCCCTGGTGCTCCACCTTCACCTCTCTGTCTATGATGCATGGCCTGTTTAGTGCATCCCCTGCTTCCTAAATGTCCCGTAGACATAGATAAATACTACGGACCATACACACTATTAATCCACCAATAGTACCGCTTACGTGTAAATGCTCCCTGAAGCGTGGCCTTCGCCGTGTGAGAATCCATCAAGATAACTAGCTCAATGAGATCTGGTAATGGTTGCATTGATGAGTTCTAATTGCCACCCAGAGACAGCCTGTAATGGACTTTAGCTGCAAAGGCCTAAGCAGATGGACCAATGATAGAAATATTGCATCTTCAGAGGGCTGCACCAGTACTGACAGCATGAAGCCTGGTTAGCTTTGGTTCTTGTTTGTAAGTGAAATGTAGGAAATTCTCTCTGAATACATAACACTGTGTAGATTAGAGGAAGACCTTATGTTGAGACTTGTACGGTTGTGGTCCTGGTTTGAAGTCAGTTTAGTCTTGACCTAGACATAGTTTGGTTATATTCTAGTCCTGGTTTAGTCCTGGTCTATTTTACATTTAGATTTAGCTTTTGTCCAATTGGATAGTGTTCATTTTGATGTAGTGAAAGTGCAAATATGAACTCATTATGCAGTATGGACCATCTGGTAATAATTTAGATGATTGGTGATGATGAGTAACAAGATTTATGGTGTAATTAGTGGGAATTTGAGAAAAAAACTAAAACAAACAACAACATTTATAATCATATGTCAAATTGTATTCTCTTGCAGTGAATAGTTTTACATAGATGCTTGTTAGCTGTTGGTTGGAATGACTATGTTTTTCAAAAATCTTTTAAAGGTCCTTATTACAGAACATTAGGCAAAGTAGTACATCTCCATAGTGACAAAGAAGTAGCAGATCCTCCACTAGAGAAGTTACATGGTGCAGCTTTAAATGTCACTTGTCGAGGCCCTGCAAAAAATGTTGTCCTGTATATAGTCATGTGCATATCTCTTTACATTGTGCTGAATCAGCCTTTAAAAATTCGATTCAAATAATAATGAAACCTAATTTATTTTTTAACTGTTAAACTTCCATATGCGTTGGGCACTTGACATTTTGACCCTCAGTTCTTCTTAGCAAACACTATTTCTGAATAAGTGCATTTTTACAATTTGCAGACTCATCACATGCTCCTGCTCCTTCTCCGACCACACACATGTACTCAGACAGTGCGGTGCAGGGTGGAGGTCTTCGGGGTGGGGGTGAGGCGTGGGGGTTGGAGGGCAGAAGGTCCCTGGGTGGGTGAGTGTCAGCTGCCTGTAGAGTTTTGTGCTGAGAGGACAGAGAAGAGATGAGAGATGTAGAACTGAATCAATCAGCCTGGAGCAGTACTGCACCAATGAGCACAGCCCCAGAGGCTTTACACTGCCAATGTGGGGCAAGTGTGCAGTGAAGCATCAAGATAAAGTCGAAGTAATGTACAGGATTTAGATAGAAACATGTGTTTTAACATTTACATGAAAAAGAATAGAATAGAAAACAGAATAGGAAATCTGATACAATTAGTTCCCATTTTAGCTGGTTAAATAAAGGTTAAATGTAATAGCTTAATTGATTTCAAAATGTTATTTTAAAATTGTAAGAGGCATGGTCTTAGTTCCTGTTTTTAGATTTTTTTTTTTTTGCTAAAATATAATTGTATCTTCACTATAGCCTGAAGAAAAGTTGAAAAACAATAATTGCAAAGTCCTTTTTCTCAAACTCCTACAGAAGATAGATTCTGTAGTTTGTAGTTAGAAGAAGATTTGATTATTTACCTATTTACCAGATTTACTATTACTATTTATTTAATATCTAGCTGCTGTGACAGTTATTTCCCTTGTCAATAAAAGGTATATAATTATACAAAAGTATATATATATATATATATATATATATATATATATATATATATATATATATATATATATATATATATATATATATATATATATATATATATCATATCAAAAGAATCCCATTCAGAGCTCCACATACCATAGCACTTCTGTAATCCCTGTTTAAAGTCACAACAAGCCAAAACTCAGACTCTTAGTTTTCACAGGTGCAGTTTAAACCTGAGTCATGGGTGAGGTTGTGAGTACAATGCCACGTGGCTCTCACAGATCTCTCCCCAAACCCCTCACACCCTCCACAGATGAATATGTCATGACTGTACCAGACGCGTCGCTCCAAGCTACACTGTCTGAAGTTGGCTTTTGTTGGAAATGAGAGCTTGATCTTCCAGCAGGAGTGTGCCTGTGAATGTTACAAGAGCGAGAGGTAGAGGGAGACAGGGGAAGCGGAGGAAAAGAGAGAAAGGAAGAAACAGAGGGGAGGAGGTAGATTGAAAAGTGGGATTGAAGAGAGAGGGAAAATGGAGAGAGGTAGGAAGTGAGTGCTTGATCTTTTGTATCTGTGAATTTTGATAGAGAATTGAGAGTGTGTGATATGACTTTAGAGAAGAGAGAGAGGGGGAAAGAGAGGGATGAAGAGAGACAGATGAAGGGAGAAGGGGAGCAGTGTTTGGAGATGAAAATGAGTCAATTTTAGGATATGGGGAAGGAGGGACAGAAAGAAATAAAGTAAGAGAAGAAGAAGAAGAGAGTGGGAGAGAGAGGGAAAATGTGATAAAACATTTGGAGAAGAGAGGATTAGGTGGGAGAGAGAAGGGAGGAAAAGAAAGAGAGAAAGAGAAGAGTGGAGAAAGAGGAGAAAATAAAGACAAATGGACATAGAGGAAAAAATGAGTGAAAGAGGGAGAAAGAGAGAAAAAGAGAAAGAGAGAGAAATAGAGAGAGACTGTGGAGTTTTATGGGAGACTGTTGACTGTGTAGACGTGGCTACAAACACACACACATTACCTTTCAGCAGGAGCTCGACCCAAACCCTTACTCAGCATCTTCTAAGTTTTCCTATTTGTACAAATACTGATGAGCCTGACAGAAGTACTCTGGATTTTGGATAGCCGTAATTATCAAGACACTGGAAACTTAAATATTAGGACTTTGAATGAAATCCTTTCTTGGGGAAAATGCTATCAACATAATAGAACAGTTGTTGCATTTACATCTCAAATATAAACTCCAAAATTAATTCTAGTGGTGTAAAACGTATGTGCATGTCAGACTGGATGAAATATAAAACTCTGAGGTAAAATCACATTAGATCTTGATGTACCCAAGCCAAAATAGCATATTGTAGGTTGACCAATAAAAACCTGACTTCACCCGCACCATGTAACAGTATAGTGGACATTTGATATATTTTTGAACAATAAATGATTAAGGATATGACTTAATCTAGCTCTAATGTTCTACCTTAAGGCAAGAAAAACACACACATAATTTTGCTGTGGAAAATAAGGCAGCCTCTTAAGTACATCTACTGTATAATATCACTCGGACTCGGATCTTATCAGTGCTCCGACCTGATGATCTATTTGAAAGAAGACAATAATGTTTTATAGACAGCTGTAAAATGCAGTCGCCTGTCTGGTATTGACTTTTCATGTGCCCAGCCTTAAATAGTCTTTCATATAGATCATTTGTTTACCATAGAGGTCACATATACCTGTATAATCCTCTTAGTGCTATATAGGATCAGGACATCAGCACCTGCTCCCTCTTCTGTATATGGAACAAATCAGCTGTTTTAAATCAGACTCTTTATCTTGGGTATTTACTTGAAATAAAAGCAGGAAGTTTGGGCGAGGCACCTCAGATAGACACGCTCATTAAACCAGTGGGATGTATGACATACAAAAATACCCACCCAGCCCCCTATATCTCATACTAGACACAAACTGTACATATTGTAATGATTCTGATTTTGAGTTTGCAAGTTATTACAGAAAACCTTAGTCATTTTGTCCAGAAAGTCAGTGATTCAGTTGATGAATAGGAATCTAATAACTAAAAGGATTGTCCCATCTCTCCCACCCTGTGGTTGTGTCCTTGTGCAAGAGGAGGGTGGTGGTGAAGAGTACTTATTGCATTTTCTCAAGTAGACTAGATATAGTTGAGTAACTTTGACTAGAATCATTTGCACTTCCCAGAAAAGTGTTTATCTGGCTTCAAAGTTTTTACATATTGGTCTCAGATGTTATATTTTACTCCTGTTTGTGTAACACATTTTAAGTGTGAAAGTACAGTATTAAAGAGTTTTCAAACCTATGTGTCTATCTATTAAAAATACCAGATTCATGCATTATTTCATGTTTTAAAACCAAATGATACATACAGACAGTTACACCTACAATTACTCTTACTTGGGCAAATCTTTGGACCAAAACTTTGTACATCTAAGTAATATGTAACATAATAGGATTCTTTTTCTAGTATTTTAGCTACTGTATCCACCTTGCCTAAGTCTGATTTCAACCAGGAGAGACTCAGACAGACACAAAGCAAAAGTTTTAGACATTGAGATGAAGGGGTTTAAATTGGACAGACTGGGAGGAGTCTTTGGAGAGAGGTGATGAAGGCTGAGCAGGTAAACTCTAGAGAAGAGGTGATGTAAACAGAAGCGAAATGAGGTCTTTCAGGCTGAATTTACTGTCTTCTATTGTTTATTATTGTATATTGTTAAGATACTGTATAGCACATTCTAACTGTATTTGTTGTCTTCCAGGCTGCATGCTGTGTTTTGGCCAATCTGCCTTCTTCCGCTTCAACCACCCTGAAGAGGCCTTTAGGATGAAGAGCATGATGCCACAGGGCGGCAGCATCCACACTGCAGACTACAGCCTATGTACAGGTACGGGGCCATGCATATTTACTACACAGGGCTACACAATTTGGGAAAACTAATAGCGATTTTCCTGACAAGCATTGGGATTGTGATTAGAATTGCAATTTATGTTTTAGTATTCCCATATTATGCTACTTTCTGATCTATGTTACAATGTTCTTTCCTCATGAAAAAACATACCTGTAGTTGGGCTGAGTTCATCTCCGCCTTGTGATTTCAAGTGCTCCGCTGTGCTTTCAAACCCCATACACCTTCACTTGTATCATTTGGGTAATTTCAGTCCAGGAATTGCCAGTCTCTTCCGAACAAGAGGTAAAATGGAGATGTTCACTTGAAAACCACTGCTTCATGTCATCACAAGGGGCATCAGAACATTTGAGCTTTGGAGCTGTAGATAACCTCACAATAATGGGTTACTCAAACATGTATGAATAAATCAAAACACAACTCCAAGCATGGTTTTGGTCTTTAAAGTTTTCACATTTTAAACTTTTAAAACTTAAAACATTGAAATAGACCTGACAAATTAATACAAAATTCACACTTCAGAACATGTTTGCACAGATCTAAAGTTCATGGTTAGCAGGTTTTATGCAGAAAAAGACAGAATGTTTTGTTGTTTGTGAAGAAAATGATAGTACTTTGCTAATTGCATCCATTCAAATTGCAATTATGGTTTGATTAATCTTGCAGCCATAGCATTTACCTAATCTTACCTAATATGTGATACTATTAAATATAAAAGCTACTCTCATTCTCTTACTACTGTAAAGTACACACATTGCTTTTGTCCCTTGAATAATAAGGCCTCCATGGAGAAGTCCCACCTGGAGGTTCAATTTCACCCTGGTCTGAGTGAATGAATAGAGCACAGTGTTCTCCGGTGGTGTTGAGGTGGAGCTCTGCAGGTTTAACAGCGAGAGAAGGAACTGCACCCAAACAAGGCATGGTTCTTAACAAGTGTATTACGTTACTGTTAGGGCTGGGTGATATAACTTAATTATACCCCTCATAATGATCGATCAATCAAGATTATTGCCTTGAATTGTGCGATAAAACAAGTGCTTTTACCGACAGAAGATTGAGGATTAGAAATGACTGAATCTTGATTAAAATGTGACTAATTTGGTTCCCATATTAAGATATTTTCTGAACTGTTATACGGTTGTTTCCTCATCAAAAACGTACTTGTGTTTTGTTTCATTCACACATGTTTAAAATACAAACCCTGCATTTTTAGGCCCTTCTCTAAAACTGAAAACACTCTGTTCCACCTTGTGATGTCACATGGTAATACAGGAAGTGCTCCACTGTATTTTTAAACTTGAAAACAACCACTTCGTGACATCACAAGGTGGAACAGAACATTTTGAGCTCTAGACAAGGATTATTCAACACATCCACAAGCGATAGAACTGTGCTCCAAACCTAATTTGTTTACTGTCCCAAAGACGATCATTTAAATTATTAGAACTTTATTTGATTAATATTTTATACAGTGTAAATTCTTCAAATGACTGCATAACTGGTTCACCAATCATTTAAACATTGATATACTATACGCTCAAACCAGCGAGTGCCGTCATCAATATGCAAGCCTCTGTGACACAGGCCTGACTTTCTAATGCTCTCTGTACCCCCCGGTCTGAACCATCCTCAGCTGGGACCTGCGCTGTATTCACACTATGCATGTTTTATGAGCATCCCGTTCGTCTGCGTCTCCGGGCAAAACTTTAGGCTGCTCATGTGTGTGTGTGGCCGATACCTCTTACTGTAAAACTACCTTTCCTTTGGCCTGCATTGCTACCAGAGACTAGGCCACAGTAAGAAATTTTAAAGCTGCACTATGTAAGTTTTTGGTTGGGGGTCCATCACTTGCTTGTTTCTATTCTATAGTGTAATATTAAAGAGATCTACCTTATATATATTCAATTACAGCTGTTTTTATAGCTCTAAAAGCCTAGAAAATCACACATTCTGATTGTGAGCGGTTGCCTCTCCACAGATCTGACCTGTAACTTGGTCCAGTTTGGTCTCCATAAAGATAGAAAGGTTTAATACCATACTGTGAAACATTCCAAATGAAACAATAACATCTCCAAAGGCACCGACAACTAGAAAAGTTACACAATGCATCTTTAGCATGTGACATATTGCTGAAGAAAATATAGATATAAACAATAATGCTGACACTAATTTATCCCAGTTAGACAAAAATATATATATATATATATTTAAAAAGATTTAAACCACCAAGATTCTTCTAAATGTAAAATGTTATTTAAAAAAAATCATGAGCTGCGATAAATAAATAGCAGAATGAAACACTTTAGCATTTACTATACTTATTATACGTCCAAAAAATAACAAAAAAAATTATTCCACAAAGAAAATATACACAAAATAATTACTGATCCTCAAAAATATTGTTCCAGCCTTACTATATTGAACAATAAATCGATATTGTAATTATAGTGACAGGCCTCCCAGTATCTCGTAATGTTATGTCCTTGCTTTAGCAGCTATTGATGCTTCCCACTGTGAGACCTGTATAGCAAGAAGGAAAGCTGGCGGCTGCGTACTTCCTGATCCGCTAATGAAAGGTTTCCGTTGTTTAGGAACGTGCCATTTTCTTCAATTATGCATTCCTCACTCCCATGTTAATCTCAGAATATTTGTCATATCTGAAGCTAAATTACCTCTGCCATCTTTATGACTACTATGATAACAGCACTACAGATAATTTCACTACGCTTTGAACCAAAATTGAAATAATTGAAGTGTGTTGGCTGTAGAGTATACTTTTATTCCCCAGGCCACAAATACATAGACCGATATGTGTAAGTTGAAATGGAGTTAATGCATGGGTACTTTCACTGTACACAAAGTAGTAGTAGTATTTACCTATGGTATATATATATATATATATGTGCATCTATAAAAACAACTCAGTGTAACACTTTATTTATATAACACTATACTCTATATTTATAAACTGTAATGTTTCCAAAGTGCTGCACTGAAAAAAACATTAAAAAACAAACAAGCAAACAAATGCTCTACCAGTGCTTAGTGCTTAATAGTGATAAAATCCTAATGCAATAGAAAGAGGCTAGATAGATAGATAAAATAAAATGAATCAAAAATGAATAAAATATACATGGATAAAATCATAAAAGACACAGTGTACTACACAACTTGTGCGCTGATGTACGAAATGTTGTTGTGACCTATTATTAAGTCTAAACTATCTAACTATTTTTTGCTCATCTCCCTGCAAAATCTTTAATAAGTTCTATGCTCTCGCTCCATGTTGTCATAGTAAAACATACACGTCTTCTGTACCCAGTAGACCCTATTCCATTTACTTTTGGCTGTGTTGTGTTTTTCCAAATCTATCACACTGACCAGCTGTCTTTATCCAGCATCTTTCAGCAGAGATCTAGTCCCCGATTAGACATTTCCTGGCTGTTCAGGCCTTTGTGCTTCTGAGCTGCTTACTGAGGCCACGGTGGCTGGGGTATCTTTTTCAGGGACTATTTATACGCCCCTATTCTACTGTGTGTTACTCCTATGCATCCCCTCTAATGCCTCCACACACTCTTTTTGTTAGCTTCTATTTTAGTTGACATTTTAATAAGAACCTGCATCACTCCTGAGGAGGTTTGGCTCAGTAGCCAGCAGTGAGAATGGAATGAGGTACTTATGTTAATACTGGTCAGATAAAGTTAATTATATTATTGGAATGGTATAATGTTTTGCATTTGTCAGCGGATTTTTAAAAAAGGATTAAAAGCATGAGAATATAAATTATATAATAATATAAATATAAATTATCTAGTTTCAATACATTGTATTTTAGAATGTGAAATATGCTGTGGCTCTGTTTATTTTATAGTTAAATATTTGAGTGGCTTATGTCAGATGTCAGTTTCCCATCTTGTATGCTTATTAGACACTTTTTAACTGCTTGCACATGGTGTCAAGTCAAGCACATTGTAGTAGAATTACCGGAAGAGTGAGACATAATAGATCTTAAAAGAAAATAGTAATAAGTCTTAACTCTGTGGCTTTCCATTGATTGTAAATTAGGCTGTTTTGGTATCCAAACGCATAGAAATTGTCGATTTTTTACAATATATTTAAAATATTTCCTTTAAAAATGTGAATTTACTAATTTGTTACTTTACGTTGAAAGTCTTGACCGGAAATAGCCTTGATCACTAGGGTGTAGCTTCACTGCGCTCCCCAACATCCCCAGGCTGATATCCACCCCGGTTTGTGGTTTATGGAGCCCGGCCAGGCCCCGTCACTCCTCGGCTTCTCTGGCACCGCTGTCCGCAGGATGTCGGGATTACTATGTTTCATATAGTCGCACTGACACTGGCCTGCTCGCAGTTTTATCCCTCCATGATGTGAGTAACCTGCTTAGCGCGTAACGCCTGACAGATGCGATAGTACCTGGTTGCGCGCCATACTCCGTAAGCATAGCGGCTAATTTCTGTTTATTAGCATGTCATGCGATTGTTATTGCGTTGAAAGAACCAGTAAATACATAACACGATAAACCTGTAACCGTTCTTTTATTCCGCTGAAAGGTAAATAATAATTATCTCTTCTATTTTGCAAAATAGTGACATTTATCTATAAAGAAGCGTAATCAGATAAGAACCAATGGACGTATCAGCATACCTATAAATTAAACTTTTTGCCGAAGGATATCGGTTATTAATGAACTAAAGTTGCCGAATGAAAAACGAACTTTTTATTAGTGTTTTATGTCTTTAAAAAGGCGAAACATCGTAAGAGCGTTGATTGAGACAGGATAATTGTTTTCAGTGATTTTTAAGCGTGGTTCGTCAAGTGCTCCTGGCTGAGGCGGTAGCCCATGACATCATTGCACGGGCTTTCCCTTAGCAAACGCTTGCATGTATTTTTATCAGCGCTCTCCCTTTACTGGTGACAGTGCACATATGAATCCAGCTGCTGTGTTTAGTTTGATACGCGAAGTGGCATTCGGCGCACACGGAGCCCGTCGCCTAAAATCCAGGCTATTATCAGTGTGACAGCTCGCCTAATGCTGTACAATTGGCCTGGACATACATTCAGTGCTCATGTGGACAGCCTGTCATTACCACAGAGCGTCATTGTAGCGCTCTGTCTTTTAGATGAACGACCAGGAAGCAAGTCCAACCCCATCTCTGTTGAACAAGCGCCTAATGCATATTTTATAGATGTTCTATTTGGAACAGCTCTCTGACATCATTTTTATAAGAGGAGGGCAGACAAATAGCCTCCACTGTTATTTTGAACTTGACACTAGTACCAAACCAAGTAAATTTGTTTCATTTATAATAAGTTAATTAGCTCAACACTGATAATATTGGCCTGTTCATGGGTTTCAGCCTCCTGTTATAAGCAACATTATAGTGCTTTCTCCCATTCAAAACCTATAATATTTAGTTTAATTTGGTATCATTATGGCAATGCTCCTAATTTTTCATCTTTCTGAAACCCATGTATCATATCATTATCATCTACTTATAGTCCATTCAAAGCACTGGAAGATGGTGTTGGCTCTTATCTTTCTCAAACATTTGTAGTGGCAATTTAGTTTTATTTTTAAAAATAATTTTAAACAGGACATTTTTATTCAGTGGGCCTAATATTTTTGTTTTTTTTAGCAATTTAAATGGAAACATTTGGACTACTGCAGGATTTGTGTAATTACTAATTTATTGACTTGATATCCAGAAGGGTTAATTACTGTGTTATTCTGTCACCAAATCAATTCAAAACTAATCGTATTTAGCCCAAATTAAACCTGATCTATACAGTGATCCTGCCCTGGGGAGTTTAGCTCCTGTGGCGGTAATCGACGGTGCGGCGCTGACATCAGAGAGACAGTTCAGATTAGATTACAGCTTGTGTTCTACTTCGCTTTCGAGCTTCATGGTAATTGGGTTATGTGGGCCCATTTTCTCCTGATCCCTATCCAAAATAGTATCCCTACACACACCGCTTATATTTTTTTCTTCTCCTACTTTTTGTAAGTGTCACAACTATTACCAGCACCCTATTCAAATGACAGATTTTTTTTTTATGTATACCTTACCCTTACCTTAAAGCCCCAGTGCATAACTTTTTATCTTATTGTGATTTCTATTTTTATGGGAGGTGACATGCCACTTCTAGAAAGTTACCCAGTGTTGCTTTAACTTAAGATCAGAGTCAGATCATATCTAAACAAGACATGTCAAAAACCAATGTTAGTTGATATCCCAAATTGTAAAGTAAAATAGTTGGCTGTAAATAAATGTATGAGTTTTTGTTGAAAGAGTAAATAATCTGAACTGATTACAATTTTCATCTTGATATACAATAAGGTTATAGTAATTTTAAAAACACAGAATGTAGTTTTATGAACAATTCCACACATGGATAAACAAACAAAAGCTAAATACGGTCTTGTCTTACAATATTACCTTGTTTTTCAGACACGGAGAGCCTGGTCAATGGGAATCACCACTCCAGCCCGGCACAGTCCCCTCCGGCTCCTGGAGACAAAGTTCAGTCCGAACACAGTAAAATCGTCAGCTCCATTGAGAAGGACCTTCAGGATATCATGGACTCCTTAGTCATGGATGACCCTCAGCCTTCATCCTCAGACTCCAAAAAGCTCCCCGCTGGCTCATCTACCTCCCCCCTGTCTCCCATGGTCAACGGAGGTGGGCGGTACTTGCTGTCTCCACCTACCAGCCCGGGAGCCATGTCTGTAGGGTCCAGTTATGAGAACACCTCTCCCCCATTCTCCCCCTTGTCATCTCCATCAGCGGCCAGCAGCGGGAGCTTCACCAGCCCCTCCCCCATCGGTGGACCATCTGACCAGAACGCCTCCCTGCCACCTGTGCCTGTTCGCTCCTCCAGCTACAACTTCACCTCCCAAGCTCCACCCATCCCACAGCCACGGACCATACTCAATTTCAGCAGTAGCAGCAGTGGAGGTGTGGGTCAGAAGGTCCAGGAGAGCCCTAGGTTACAGAGAAAGCTGCTTACAGAAACTCCTCCAAGTCCGAAATCGACCAGAAGAGGACTGAGTTTAGATGGGAGCGATAGCCCAAGACAAACCCCTGTTTTATCTCCCGAAGATTCTCTCAATGGTCGCAACATTGTGCCAAGTAGCCCTAGACTTATGCCTAAATTTTCTACTTGCCCATCTCCATCTCATCCCAGGACCAAGACCACCACAGTGCTACAAGAAAGACCCGCTAGTCCTTTCCGGGAGCAGACTAGCTTAGCTGATCGCACGCTCACCTCTAGCCCATCAAGGCAACTTTCTCAACCAACAAGAGCCTTCCAGCCGCCTCTAGATCCCATTGTCCACATCATTCAGGGTGGACCTTTACAACAGCGAACGCTACAGCCCCCTGAAAGCCCACGTGTAACTCGGAGAAACATGGAAGTGAATGGTGGTAGTACTTCAGGTTTAAGTATGAGAGATTTGCCCCCGCTTAGCCCGTCTATGGCGCGGAGAGGTGTGCCGGTACTTCCAGGAGCGCTTCCAGGAACAGTCCCCATACTAAAGACTCCAGATAGTCCTTCATGTTTAAGCAAGCTAGTTCCTGAAAGCCCTAGACTGCGTCGCAAAACTGCAACAACGACAGATGAGTTATTAACCAGTAAAGGGATGAGAGCACGTAGTCCATCTCCTACTTTAATGATGGAGGGTAGTGCTAGTTCTAGAAAAGCTGGTTTGGGGAGCTCTCTGACCCCCGCCTACAGTCTGGGGTCGTTGCCGGGATCGTCTCCAGCAGCCAGTCCCAGGACACACAGGAAGATGTCGGCATCAGGAAGGCCTCATCCGGGAATGAGGGAGAGGAAGAACAGTATCACGGAGATCAGTGACAATGAGGATGAGCTGTTGGAATACCATCGCAGGCAGAGGGAGGAGCGGCTGAGAGAGCAGGAGATGGAGAGGCTGGTGAGTTCACGATATGTCAGGAAAACTTTGTATTGAGAAAGTTGGCAGAATATTCACCAGGTGTCAACAGTACATGCGTATAATAATATATTAACTTTCATTTAATACTTCAGAAACAAATTATTTAGGATAGATACAGCAAACATAGATTAGCATGTGGTAATTTGATGCTAGTGTCAAAGTGTTAATAGACTGGGGTAATTTGCAACACCACTCTCAAGGAGGGCTTTAAATAGATAGATAGTTCTTTTCCTTCTTCCTGTTATTGTCTGTTCCAGCAGGTGATAGAATTTTTTCTTTGACAAGACACAACATTCATGATAAATATACATATACATAAACACATTTAGAAAAACACAACACAATAAAAAGACAACAGCAGTAGCCTGAGCTCATCTGATGGACTTCAGAGAGGCACTGGCATTCGGAATGAAGGATTATTTGCATATGTTTTTGCTGGCCAAAGGGTTGCTTGCCTGATGGTAACAGTGTGAAGGAGTTATTGGCAGATTTGACATCGCTAAATGCAATGTGGTTATAAAATTGGTTATAAAATGCAACAACAGTAAAATTTAGAGTAATTAATAAATGCAATGCAAACATATGCCAATATAATTTGCAATTATAAAGAAGCTACAACTAGGTTACAACAAGGAATGGATATTTGAAATCATGCATAACACAGAAAATAGTTCAAGGTCAGAACAAAATTTAAATAAACTTTTTTGTAGTAGTTTAAATTAAACTACTAAAATATCACTCATGCTGTAAGTCGTGGATTGGTTGAATAATCGGCGTGCCATCTTTGAACAAAGCTATTGATTGCTGTTATCTCCATGTTTGTGTATAAAAGTCCATAAACCTTTTGAGTGACAGGTCCGTATCTGGGCTATTGGCTGTCTGCACCGCTGCTGTCATGTAGGTCCCAGGACGTCCAGGGATCACTTAGCAACCGCATTGTTTGTTGTTTCCTAAACTGGACCGGGGGAGGAGGGAGGAGCGGTTGCCGTGGTGAACTTGTCTGGCTGTCTGAATCAAAGTCCTTTAAAAGCCTCTCTGTGAGTCTGAGGCTGTGAGGAAGGCATTTGTCCGCCCTGCTTGTAATTACAAAACGTGTTGTAAAGAGTGTGGGACAGCTTGGTTTGAAGGCACGCTGACATGCCCTGTGTGTCTGTGCGGGGCAGGTTGTGTTCTGGGACCTCCTGGAGAGACCTGCCAATAAAGCAGAGACACAGTGCCACATGTGCCACAGAGGAATGCTTTTAAGTTGCAACTTGACAACTAAAGTGTCATTCTGCAATGTAGTTTAGATAGTTACTTGAGCTAAACTTGAAAGTGGGATGTTTGGAATGATCTATTGATAGACCTGTCACAACAACTACTATATCTTCTTATTGTTCAATATATAAAAGCCTGAACAATATTTTTGGGGGGGTCAATATATATCATGTGTACTTTTTTTACACACTTCTGAGAATTTTTATTTATTTATTTTTTTTATTTGGCTATATGAAAATTTAAATGTTGAATAACTTCTATGACTCTTTGCAGACTAACAGAGGGAAACACTGTTTGTGTTTAATGTTTTTCTACAGACATTGTATTGATCAATTTGGCAAATATTTAATTAAGATTTTCTGACAAACATTGTGATTAGATTTACGATTCTGTTCAAAGTTCACATTTTTAACACATCCAAGAGCATTAAGATTTGAGAGGAGACTGAAACTGGAATTGCAAATTAATCTTTAATTTTCACAATTTGAGTTTTGCATGATTGTAAAATGGCTATCATATCTGCCCCTCTACCAAGAGGTATAGGTTCAATTCCCAGCCTACTCAGTTAGTCATTTGGAGTAATCCCAATTCCCTCATATCCTGTGATTTTTTTTTTTTTTAGACTCTGTGTAGCTTGCTACAAATCAAATCTTAAATTCCCTGAATGTAAGTGTATATAGTGTAAGGCCATTGTTCTTTGTGTTGCTTTACCAACACCCCATTGCAATAGCAGCTGGGATTGGCTCCACAACCTATAACCTGGAGTGTAAAAGATGAATGAATCAGTAACATGAGCTGGCACTTTAATCTGTGGAACACATTATATTAGTAGTCGAGTAGTTTGTTGTATTTGATCTAAAAGTATATTGCATATGGTCGCATGCTTTGTGAACAGCTTTATACCAACATATTTACTTTACAAAGCTGTTAACTCATTCATTATCTTTCTTTTTTTCTTGCACACTATAAATCTTAAGGGTGTGTGTATAACTTTTTGTTTTGGTTGCCTATCACCTGCTTGTTTTATGGATATGTCACTGCTCTGCTTGGAATGTTCCACAGTATGACATTAAACAGCTCTACCTTACATTTATTCAGTTACAGGTGGTTTTATAGATCAAAAATACTTAGAAAAACAGGTATTCTAACTGTGAGCAGGATTGCCTCTCTACAGATCTGACCTGTAACTTGGTCTGGTTTGGTCTCCATGAAGATAGAAAGGTTTAATAGCATACTGTTAAACATTCCAGACAAAGCAATAACATCTCTATGGAGACAAGCATTTGACGGGCCTTCCACCAGAAAAGTTACACAATGCACCTTTAATGTAAATGCAGTGTTTATTCATATTTCATAAGAATGTGCAGCAAAGTAAATTAAAGTTTCCACAATTCAAGAAAGAAAGAAAAGGGAGGGTGGTTCAGTATATATTTTTTTCAATTTTGTTACAGTGGAAGGCTTTTAACACTTCAGTTTATGTTAAATTATCTCAACAGGCTGTCAAAGGCTTAAGTCTTTGTTCCAGGTGAAATATTATGAGTCACTTTAACCTTCGGCCTGGTACCGGCGCTGACACACAAAGAGGAAATATTGACTATAGTTATGTGCATACAGCTGAACCCTGCAAGGTCAAGAGAAGTTACTATGAATAAGTAAAGAATCCAGAAACAAACACAAGCATATATAGTAAGTAGAGTTCTGTTAAGGTTTGTTTTTCTAGTAAGTTGTGATATATATATATATATATATGAAAGCTCAATTTTGTGTGATGTGGGACCTTTAAAATCAAATTTCAGTCCATGTGGTGCCTACTTATAACACATTCCACTTTATTATTTCAGAGAAGACTAAATAATCACATATACTTCAACATGTAGAGGTTCAAAATTACAGGTTTGGAATTTAGACTAGATTGAGAGTTTTAGAGTAATCTTCCAGCTAAGGGCCGCACAATTTAGGAAATTTTTTATTTTTTTTATTTGATTACGATAAATTGTGTAGCCATAGTTCCTGAGCTGTATTTTCTGTATAGACCTTGAGGAGACCAGAGCTTCAGGCCTTGTAATTAGTCACAGTTGAGTCACTGTTATGACAGATTTGGTTTACCCCGGAGCGTCTGAATTTTAATGATTTAACACACACACTCACACAGCCTGCTACTCATTCATACAAGTGATTACAAAACAAAGTTGTATACACTGTGAAGAAATTACTCAAGAAAGAGCCCTCCTGTTGTGGTATCAAATAGGATTACACAGCTCTAAGGCACGAGCAGGCAACACCAGTACTGCTACTTTCATGTGCGCTGTACAAAGATTGTGATGCAATCTGCACTGTAAAATATAGGCCAGGGATAATGTCATAGGGCCACAGGTTTTACTGTACCATGTTAGGTTAACTGTTCTGCAGGGTTTTGTGGCTCATTATTTGTTAAGGTGATTGTACTAGACCCGGAGCCTTTTATTCATTATTCAGAGACGTAAAATGATAAGGTTCAACTAGGCTATGATTTCTAAATGCTCAGATCGAATTCAGTTGAAGGTGGCACCACAACAGTATATTTTTTCAATGCAGTTTGTCCATTCTGTTGGTGCGCCTAACTAAACCATAAATGATTAAGTCCAACCATTATCTTTGTCCTGCATAAAATTTTGTATGCAACAAAAAACTGATCTAGTAGGTAAATAGAGGCAATATTAACATGATATATGTCTGAATTATTTTACATTGCAAGGAGGCTTTAACACATCTCTGGGTGGAGTCTGTGTACCTAATCCTTGTTACTTTAAACTAGCTCTGTAACTTTCTTTATGTCCATTGATGGTCCATGTATTTTTAAATAATGTTTTTATAGGTTTCATTTATCGATAACTATATTCCATGTCCCTCTTTATAATGTTTCATTCAACATTCATTCATTTAGTTTAGTTGAGCAGTTTAAAAATGTGTAGTGTAATTTGTGTAATGTAATTTAAACATAAAACACAAGGAACAATGTCCAAAGAGAAGCAAACTATAATTATGAACCTATCTTCTCCTCTTGTATATGGAGTTTGGTTTGTGCGGTTTGATTCAATATAGGTACATACAAGTTTTTTGTGCTTGTATTCCTCTGTCAGTCACAACATACTAAATGATACAGGTGTTGAACTGTGGATAGTGTAGTGTAGCCTAATTTAACCTCTTTTTTTCCTAATCTCTTTAATGTCACTTGATGCTGGAGGTAAGCCCTGTCTAATGAGTGTCCTGCAGTGACTCCTCAGGTCCATCTGTTTGGACAGTCCTGATTCCAGACTGGCACTGCCCACTTCATATGTCCAGTCACATGTCCAGTCTGAGGAACATGCCCCCTCTAAGTATTACTGTCCCACCGTCCCAAATGTCCCCAGCGGAAACCTATTTGGCCCTGTCCCAAGAGCGCGCAGAGAGGAGCAGCAGAGGCCTCATGTTACTGCTGTGAGAGTGTAGCTTTACTTCCTGCTTGAACATGTGACCTATGAACCCAATAGTCCCGACCACATGAGCATCAGTCTAATGGAGTTTTCTCAGAATGTTAAGCCCAAAAATTGATTAAAAAACATGTTTACGTTACATCATTACTCTTATATTATAGCACATGTTTTAAGCAACTTACGATTACTTTTACATTGTCAAAATTTACATGCATTTATATCATATGTCTGCTAGTAATGTTTTGAGACATTGTTGTTAAAAGTCTTTTA